TGATTTATTGTAGAGATGAGGTCTCGCCAAGTTGCCCAGGCGGGTCTCAAACCCGCAGGCACAGGCAATTCACTCACCTCAACCTCCCAAAGCGCTGGATTAACAGGCTGAGCCACAAAGCCTGGCTTGATATTTTAATTCAATGTATTCCACTATGCCCTGTTTTATTACTCATCCTAATTTCTTTCCAACTTAGAAAATGTGGGCAATCCTATGAATTACATGAATAACAGCATTCAGATAGTTGCAAGCTAAAGTGCCCACAATTGACATAGTCATTCATTTTTTAAAACAAATTTTCAAAATTTGTTTAAACATAAACAAGAATTTTAAAAATGAGTAAACTAAACAAAATACAACAAGCAATGATTAGTTGAAATGAGTAAAAGGTAACTACTATGATATGGCTTTAGCTTTGCAAAAGAGTCCAACGTTGTTTACATGGTTTACTTTCTACACCAAAAAATAATAATAAAAACAGAAAGTACAGAGTGTACAGTTTTAACAAGCAAACAACTATATAAGAATATGCTCCTTACAAAACAGCAAGGACACCCAAGGAGTGTTCTTGTACATCCAAAGCCCCAAGCACAGTGTCCAGATGGGATAAATTCTTCGCAAGGAGTTCCCCACTTTTGTTGATCAGTTCACAAAGCTGTGTCATTTGCCCTGGAAAATAAAACACTATCATTCAGTTATAGCACTCAACAAACTAAAAAAAACTCTAACCACAGACTTTGTACTTTAGAGCCTGAAGTGCCTAAAGATGATGTGTTATATCTCCTTTTCGGATGAGAACCCAGGAGGACCAGAGACAATCTACCTGTAGCCTTTGAACTAGAGATTACACCAGACCTCCCACCTCTCTCTGCCCCGAATGTTTCTCCTTTTCCTCAGTTTCCTTTTCCAGTCTCCCAAGCCAGAAATGTTACTGACCACCACCTACCTCCCTCATCTACCCCTGCAACTAAAAGGTCACCAAATATAATTTAATTTTACGTCCCAAGTCTCTTAGCTCCATTCCTTTCTCTTTCCCCTCCTTGCCTTAATTCTGATCCTCAGCATGTCTTGTCTGGACTACATCATAAATTTTCTTTTTTTTTTTTTTTTG